TACCTGGTAGATCAGATCTAATTTCCCTTCCCAGGGCGATCCATGTGTCCCTCTTAGGGTCCTCCTTGTTACCTAGCTTCTCTGGAGCTGTGGATTGTAGTCTGGTTATCCTTTGCTTTAGATCTCATATACACTTATGAGGGAATACATACTGTGTTTGTCTTTCTGAGTCTGGGTTACTTCATTCTGGAGGGTTTTTTCTTTTTCCTAGTTCCATCCATTTACGTGCAAATTTCATGAGGTCATTATTTTTTTTTACAGATGAGTAATTGTGTAATTGTGTAAATGTACCACATTTTCCTTATCCATTCTTCAGCTGAGGGACATATTGGTTGTTTCCAGGTTATTCTGGTTATTACAAATAATGCTGCTGTGAACATTGTTGAGCAAATGTCTTTGTGGTATGATTGAGTGTCCTTTGGGTAAATGCCCAAGAGAGGTATCACTGGGTCTTGAGCTAAATTGATTCCCAATTTTCTTAGAAATCACCATACTGATTTCCAAAATGACTGTACAAGTTTGCACTCCAACCACCAGTGGAGGAGTGTTACCCTTTCTCTACATCCTCTCCAATATAAGCTGTCATCAGTGTTTTTTATCTTAACCATTCTGACAGGAGTAAGATGGTATCTCAGAGTCATTTTGATTTGCATTTGCCTGATGATTAAGGATCTTGAGCATTTCCTTGAATGTCTATTTGAGATTGTTCTGTTAAGGTTTCTTTGGTTAGCTCTGTACTCCATTTTTCAATTATTTTGTATTTTGATGTCTAGTTTCTTGAATTCTTTATATATTTTGGAGATCTACTGAAAGGGCCATTTAAACTGCCCCTCAGTGTCACCAAGGGATTAGTTTCAAATCCCTACAAATAACAAGTTTTATGGATGCTCAAGTCACTTATTTAAAATAGTGCAGTACTGGCATGTTACCTGCCTCCTGTATGCTTTTAACTCCTCTCTAGATTGCCTATAATACCTAACACAATCTAAACCCTGTATGTTAGGTCCCAATCTGCCCCTCCAAATGGCAGTGCTGGTGACATTGTCCTAAACAAAAGGACTTTGGCAAACAGGATTGTTACTGGATAAATAAGCCTAAAGGTGGGTTTCTGTTTACCAGAAAAGTGAAGTTTGTAAGGTGGGTTTCTGCTTACCAGGAACCTCTCTTAATCAGCCCCAAAAGTCGGCTACCTCACCAAGAGTATCTAGTTCGTGGTAGGTCCCAATAGCTTAAAGACCTCTGTCTTGTTGACTCATATAAAATCTGCTTGCTTTCCCACCGTTTTCCTCTTCTTTCTGCCCCCACCCTATGGCCTTGATAGCTTGATTCCCCCATGAACCTTTCTCTCTACTCATGGAGCAATCTAGTTCAGTGGTTTCATGCACGGAATCCTCACTTACACTGTATACGTGGTTGTTATACTATGTTTGGGGATAAAGACAATAAAGATTCTATACATTTACATATGCACATGCACATTATAGGCCCCAATACATCTTTGTTCAGTTGTGTTTTGTTGCTCTGTTCTAAGATAGTCTCATTATGTATCCTAGACTGGCCTAGAACTCATAATTTTTAGTTCTTCCAGGTGCTGGGATTGTCCATGTGCACCACCACACCCAGCTCCTAATTACAACATTAAAAATGGTAAGCTGGAGTGGTGGCACACATTTTTAAGCCCAGTACTTGGGAGGCAGAGGTAGGCAGTCTCTAGCAGGCCAGTGGGAGCTACACAGTGATTTATTTCTTTTTAAAGTGTAGTGGGGGGAGTGTGTGTGTGTGTGTGTGTGTGTGTGTGTGTGTGTGTGTTCACATGTGTATTTGAGTGTGCCTGTGTGTACAAATGTGGGGGCCAGAAGAAGGTGCTAAGAGTTCTATTACTGTCCTTATTCCTTTGAGACAAGGTTTCTCCCTGAACCTGGAGCTCACATTCTTTGGCTATACTGGTAGTTAGTAAACCCTAGAGATCCTCTTATCTACATCCCGCACAGTGCTAGAGTTAAAGATGCACTAGAGATTATACCTGGCTAGGATTTGAACTTGAGTACTCATGGCTGCACAGCAAGTACTTTTAACCAGTGAGCCATCTTTTCAGCTGTTAATTTCACCAGGCAAGAACAAGGCCACTACTACAATCTTTTAGCCAAACTTGAAGCAAACTTTATATTTATTTATTGGTTTTTCTCAAGACAGGGTTTCTCTGTGTAGCTTTGGAGACTGTCCTGGAAATCACTTTGTAGGCCAGGCTGGCCTCAATCAAACTCACAAAGATCCACCTGCCTCTCCCTCCCAAGAGCTGGGATTAAAAGGTGTGTGCTACCACTGCCCAGCTTGGAGCAAGCTTTGTTAAATACTGGCCAGGATGATGGCCACTGGCCAAGCCCATACCCAGGATTCCCAGAGAATGGCCATGAATTATATTAGTTAGGTGCTTATACAGGCAGTTATAAAGACAAAACCCACAAGTACTTCCTGCCTCCATCCAATTGGAGGCAAGCATACATCCTGACATAATTTCTGCCTACAAGGAGCAAGCATATCCTATGTAGTTGGTGCAACCAATCTTGTTTACAAAAGTGAAACCAATATGTTTGTTATCTTACATTAACAGCCCCCAGTATTCATAGGCGGTTGAATCCTTGAATGCATAATTTGTAGAAATGGAAGGCCAACTGTACTTCTAGAGTGTTGTCCTTTTAGCCTCAGAACTAAAGCCCAGGGCTATCTATTAAAATCTATCTTACCCAGGGTCTGACCTCCAGGTCCTCCCTGCACACCCCCAACCCCTACACCTCCGTACTGCTTGGTTTCTGAAGGCTCTATGCAACACCCCAGATTTTCAATAGCTGTTCATGGGTTATCAATCTGGTAAGGAATGGAGTAAAATTTGTGTGTGTGTGTGTGTGTGTGTGTGTGTGTGTGTGTGTATGTGGTTTTATTTTGAGACAGGGTTTCACTAGATATCCCCTATTGGTCTGTGACTCAATATTGTTTGTTTGTTTGTTTTCTTCCCACAAGGCTACTGTCACTTCCTGCTTGCTACACCTCCCCATGCCTCAGCTTAGAAAATGTATTGAGAGAGAAAGCAGGGTGAGTGTGGACTCAGCCCTGGTGTAGGCCTCCTCCTGAGGATCACGGTGCTGCCTTCGCTGCTGGCCAACACCTACAAACCATATATTTTTGTATATACCATATCTATTTGTCCAGGATTTATAGTTGTTCATGTGGAAGGGGAAACCTAAAATTGGTGACTCCATCATGACTGGAGTCAAGTTCCTCACTTAGAGATTTAAGAAGTAGGAGCCAAATTGAAAGGGTGGGTGTGGTCAGGGAGGCCTGGCGATGTCTGGACTCTGAGGTCATGACCAGCAAGCAAAAGCTGAGGAAATGGAAACAATGAGTTTGCGGAAACTGTGGGGAAGAGAAAAATGGAGATGTGGAGAGGGAGTGTGAGAAAAGGGAACAGATCCTGGGGACACACAGGAGGTGCCTGCTGCAGAACTAAGCGCCATGTCCTATTGTCCTGACCCCCACAATGCCCTGCACCCAGTGCCACTCACCAGCCCGGGCTTCACGCCTGGAAAAGGACAGCTGTCACTCAAATTTCTATGCTTCTTTCCCACATTGACCATAACACTCCAGGGCCCAAGGGAGCCAGTGGGAGTCTCTGAATTAAAACAGATTCAGCTTCCCACTGCCCCAACAGGTAAAGATACCAAGGCACAGGGAAAAAAGGGTACATTCTAGGGCTATTCAATAACAAGCTTTAAAGCCAAGATGAGTATGGAGGCAGTCTAACTCCAGAGTCTGGGCTCTTAGCCACAGCATCTCCTATTATCCAGGTGTCTCCTAACTCACAGAACACGTACCATGCCCATCTCCTCTGGTAAGGTGCCTCCTGGACTCAGCCCCACAGGTTGTCTCTGAAAGACACAGTTTCCTAGGGGCCAAACATGGAAGGGAGGGACCTGGCTAGGTAGCAGCAGGCAGGGTTATGGTCCCTGCTCTGCTGAAGATCCTCTAGGCACACTGCTGTATTTCTTTGAGTCTTACTTTGTCCACATACCTGCAAGTCTATTGTGATTTGCTGAGAAACTAATGTGGGCAACAAGCCCTGGGGGCTCCAGGTGTGCAGCAGCTCAGGGCCTGCCCATGGGCATTGCCCTGGGATGATTCCACAGGTGGTCATCAGGAGGTCCCTGGCCTACATAAGGGACAGCTAAGTGGCTGCACAGAGGCAGGGTCATAGCTGCCAAGCCTAAAGGATCCAGTGGCCAGTAAGGGCCTCTATAGGTATCTAGAAAGAAGCAAGGCAGCTGGAGAAAGATGGAGGAGAAGCTGGGAGGAGGGCAAGGTAGCTTCAGTTGAGCAGCTAGTATCCCATGTGTACCCAGGGGAGCCAGGTTCTTCCATGTCTTTCTCACTTATTTGTATTTGTATCCTTTTTCATATCATTTGTTATTTGAGTGGGGTTTCATCAAAAGACAAAAGTACTAAGACAATAAGAATGATACATCTCTTGGATGAATGATGCAATTGCAGTATAAATTCACACTGTTTTACTGTCCTTGGGTTTTTTTTTTTTTTATTTCTGCTTTGTCCAAAGCTCGAGACATCTTTCAAAAAAAAAGGGGGGGAGGGGTGGTGGTAAAATAAGCTTAGAGACATTCTTTTTTGTAATTAATTGTATTTAGCTGGTAATTCAGAATTTTTCATTTTCTTACAGAGGTGAAAGGAGAAGACAGCTTCAGATCATAGTGATGAAGGTTGAGGTGTGAGATAAGCAATCTCATGACTGAGTCTTCTTCCCTTCATGGTATCTGTGGTAGTTTGAATGGAATTGGCCCCCATAATCTCATAGGGAGTGGCACTATTAGGAGGTGTGGCTTTGTTGGAGTGGGTGTGGCCTTGTTAGAGGAAGTATGTCACTGTGGGGGGCGGGCTTTTGAGGTTTCCTACGCTCAGGATACCGCCCAGTGTCTAAGTCGACTTCCTGTTGCCTGTAAGTGGTAGGATTCTCAGCTATTTCTCAAGCACCACGTCTGACTGCATGCTGTCATGCTCTCTGTCATGATGATAATGGAATGAACCTCTGGAACTGTAAGTGAACCCCCTCAATTAAATGTTTTCCTTATAAGAGTTGCCATGGTCATGGCGTCTCTTCAAAGCAATAAAAACCCTAAGACAGTATCAGGCATGTATTTTCTAAATCAAATTCTAACCATGGTTTCATACATGTATTTTCTAAATAGAAGAAGCATCCTTAAGCCAAGCCTGGTGGTCCAAGACTGCAATTCTTGCTACTTAGAAGGCTGAGACAGGAGGATCCCAACTTCAATTTCTGACGGATTCTAGGGTGAGTTCAAGGCCAACTTGAACAAGTTGGTATCCAAAGGATAAAGTAAAGAAAGGTCTGAGGAATTTAGCTCAATGGTAGAGCATTTGTCACATGCGTGGATTTTATCCTTACCACTGTGGAAATTATTAAAAATAACAATAATTGTCCTCTATCTTCCCAGTGGGTGGGGTAGGGAAGCAGGGAGGAGTGACTGGATCTTGAGATGAGGAGGCTGACCAAATTTTCACTCTTGAGATTAGCTCTAGGCCCAACACACCTGCCTCCCTTCTTTGGGTCTGGAGCTCCTAAAGCTGTGGTTTTCCTCTGGGTGGTGACTCAGTGCCCACAGCCTACCCAGCATGCCATTTCCCCCTATCCTGGCTAACTGCTCTGAGTAAGAGGTGGCTGTGGTTTCTCTGAAGCAACAACCACAAACTGCCAAGCCCACCTTACCCATCCTCCACTCCCCACCCTGTCTTTTAGTGTCCTAGTCCCAGCCTCAGGATGTCAACTGAAAAAGAAATAGAGAGGCTTTTTTTAATGCATGTGGACTTGGAATTATGCATCAGAGTGGAAGAGATCCTCATTTAATAGCTATGGAGACTGGGCTGAGGATGCAGCTCAGTGATAGCGTGCTTGCAAACCACTGCATATGCTTGATCCCTGTAACCCACACACCCCCACACCCACACACAGGCCAGGTATGGGAGAGGAGGGAGAGATGGAGTAAGGCAGCATATTTCCTTTGGGGTAACCTATTCACTCATGTATTCCTCGAGAGCTGATTGAAACCATGACAGTGGACAAGAAGACATGATACTCTGGTACCCCTCCAGGGAAGACTGGTGCTCCTGGCAGCAAGAGTTCTACTGGCTCTTAGCCCTCTATGACTGCCTGAGTGAGGGGACATGTCTGACTCAAACTCACATTCTTCTCTAGGGAGTACATCTCCAAGGCCTAATCAAGTTGGCATGTAGGAGATCCTTGTGGGGCTGTGACAGGTTACTTCCAGTCTATAGCTCTCAATGAGGCAAAGAACTGGGCCTGGAGATGGCCTGACCATGAAACTTATGTCTCCCTCCACCTACCTTTACCTCTTTCTCTCACTCTCTCCAGGCTTTGCCGGCAAGAGCCTCCCTGGCTGATGATCATCCTGCATGCTACCACGGAGTGAGTTGGATTCCGAGAGTTGGCTTGGTTTCTAAAGACCTGCCAGCTCCAATTGTGACAGAGGAGTGCATAAACAACCCAAAGGGGGAGAGAATGGGCCTGGGGTGACAGAGACCACCAGAGTTTCCCAAAGAAAGCTCTGTCTCATGTCTTGGATGAGTCACTGATATTAGCACTGGGGAATAGCATCAAGGCAAGAGGCTGTGTGCCTCTTTGCATCTGAACACTTCAGGCTATCACTCTTTGCTTGGAGGAAGAGCTGTCATCCACCTGTCCATCGTGATTGACTTAGACGCATTGGTTCTTAAAAGTGACCCAGTATTGCAGAATATTCCTTTATACTGTGTGAAGATATGCTGTTGTGATTGGTTTAATAAAAAGCTAACGGACCAATAGCTAAGCAGGATTTGGGGGGCAGAGAGAGTGCTGGGAAGAAGAAGGGCAGAAAAGCCAATCAGACTGAGTCAGACACATAAAATGGAATAGAGCTACTTGGTAGAATGGAGATTAATAAAAATATGGACTAATTTAAGTCATAAGAGCTAGATAGGAACAGAGGTGATAGGGCAGTGTTGGCGCATGCCTTTAATCCCAGTGCTCAGGAGGCAGAGGCAAATGGATCTCTGTGAGTTCCAGGCCAGCCTGGCCTATAGAGTGAGTTCCAGAACAGCCAGGACTGTTTCATGGGGAAACTCTGTCTTGGAAAAGCAACAACAACAAAAGAAACAAGTTGAGGCTATTGACCAAGATTTCATAATTAATAAGAAGTCTTCATGTGGTTATTTGGGAGCTGGATGGTGGGGTAGAAAGATCCACCTACAGCCCAGCAAGGCTGCACTCTTCCTGGCTTTCTTCTAAGACTCAAATACTGACAGGAAATGGATGCCTCTGCATTCTGAGTGAATATGGCCTGCCAGAGGCTGCTGCAGAATTCAGTGACTAAAGGGAGCTGCTCTGGGAATGAAGACTCAGGAAGGAGTGGTCCTGTCTTGGCTACTATTCTACTGCTGTGCTGGGACACCATGACCAAGGCATCTTACAAAACAAAGTGTTTAATTTGGGGCCATACATCCTCATCCCTAATGTTCCACCAACTAGAGACCAAGCATTCAAGTATATGAGCCTATGAAGGCCATTCTCATTCAGACCACCACAGAATTATGTTAGTCAAAGAACCCTTGTATTGTGAGTGACCCTGCTTTCCCCAGACTTCATACTCACCTAGGGGATTCCAATCTCTAGTCTCTATGTGGCTGGACGTCATCCCCCTCCCAGCTCTAACTTTCTGGGGGTCTGGGGTTGAGGACATAGTGACTCTCTACCTCTTCCAACTCGAGGTCCAGGCTGGATACTTGGGAATTAGGAAAAAGGCCTGCCCTCTGTCTCCCTGGCCTAGTCTGGAGGGTCTTCCTCTGGTTCTGCACAGCTTGTTCCCATTGCCCCAAAGCCATCCTTCAGCACTGAGTCCCTACTCACTAGGCTTTCCTTTTGCTCCAAAGTCATTACAGGATCTTGAGAAGGTTCCTTTGTCCGGGCCTTAGTTCTGCATCCATCTAATGGGGCAAGGGTAGAAGGGGTCTTTAAGTTTCTTCCCACCCTGACATTTTAGGCCCATTAATGTGTTGGCACCATGATCCTATACCCACCCCTTACTCCCCCTTTCCACCCTGTCCCTTCTTTGTTGCTCAGCTCTAGTACCTGCCTCTCCCGGGCTGATGAGAGATTAGATGTGGGCCCTTCCTCTCACCTTGTGTGAGACGCCTACCCAAAGCAGATGCTGCTCACCAAGAGCCAGTCTGGCAGTGTCTGGGAATCACATTGGCAAGCAGCTGGGGGGCGAAGGGTCCAGTTTGGGGAACAGCCAGTTCAATGTTACCATTAGGTATTTGAATTGGAGGAGTTAGTCACTGCAGCCAAGAAGCCAGAACAAGTGCCATTCACACTGACTGCAGCATTGTGAGCAAGGGTGACTCATCACAGACAGCCTCTAGCCGGAGTGGCTGTTACCATGGCCTATAAAAACCCCTACCAGCATGAAGAAGGGCAGTGGGAGGGACAGGCATAGACTGGGCACAGGATTCAGCTTTCTGTTGGGTCCAGGATGGAGAGAAACCATGTCAAAGGGTTTGGAGGCTACTTCTGTGCTGCCTGTGCTCCTGAGGCAGTACAACACTGGGGAGGGACAGCACCCAACTGGCCACATCTGCAGGACCAGATCCAACCTGTGCTCACTTGTGTATATTATTAAGGGAGTTGGTGGTAAGGGGTTGAAGCTCAGCCAATGATCAAGTTCGTCGTTGTCCATCCAGGAACAAAAACCAGTGCTCAGTCTAGCTCACACTAATGATCGCCCTTTATATGAGGACCATGCATTAGATTTATTCTTACGAATACCCAAGAGAGCCGGGCGTTGGTGGTGCATGCCTTTAGTCCCAGCACTCAGGCAGGTGGATCTCTGTGAGTTCGAGACCAGTCTGGTCTACAAGAGCTAGTAACAGTACAGCCTCCAAAAGCCACAGAGAAACCCTGTCTCGAAAAAACAAGCAACCAAAAAAAAAAAAAAAAAAAAAAAAAAAAAAACAACAACAAAAAAAACAAAAACAAAAAAACAAAAAACCGAATACCCAAGAGAAACAATTTAAAGGCAGCAAGGTTTACTCGGGCTAATGGCTTTAGAGGGTTTTAGTCAACAGTAATTAAATTCTGTTGCTTTTAGGTCTGTGGCAAGGCTAAAACATACTGGAAAAAGAGCATGGAAAGGGCCACTCTCCAGTCACCTCACGGCAGCCAGGAAGCAGAGAGGATAACAAGAAGGGGTCAGGGTCAAAGGCACAGCCCCAATGACCCACTTCCTGCAGCCCGACCTCCCACAGTGTCACACTAATCTCACAGGTATTTCTCAATCCAATCAAGGTAACAGTCAGGATGAATCATTATAGCGTGGTCAAGGAGACTGAAAATAGTATGAAGTAGGGTGAGACCAGCAAGGGAGAGCCACGGGACACATGGAAGCTGAGCAGATTACAGGTGTGAGGCTAGGCAAATGGAAGGGACAGGAAGTGGGAGTTGCAGCTCTATCACTAACTGTCTGTGTGATTCTGGAGGGGGTTTGTATTTCCTGTGTATAAAATGAGAATTTCCCTCCTGATGACAACTGTACCACAATATGCGACTTCATATTTTATAACCTATCATCTCTTTGTCCCTCACAAAAACCCATCTCTTTAGGCCATGTTAAATTTGTTATTTTTATTTCTATTTATTGTTGCTGTTCTTTGAGGCAGAGTTTCTCTGTGTAGCCCTGGAACTCACTTTGTAGACCAGGCTGGCCTCAAACTCACAGAGATCCGCCTGCCTCTGCCTCCTGAGTGCTGCTGGGATTAAAGGCGTGAGCCACCACCATCCAGCAGTGTTTTGTTGCTATTGTTTTAATTTTTTTAGATGTATTTGTTTATGTGTGTAAGTCTTTTGCCCATGTGTATGTATGAACACCATGCTCACCCCTGATGGCCACGGAGGACAGAAGAAGGTTTATAACTCCCAGAACTGGTGTTAAGGATGGTTGTGGGCACCATGTGGGTACTGAGAACTGAACCAGGGTCCTCTTCTAGAGCAGCCAAGTGCCCTCAACTGCTGAGCCACCATCTCTTCAGCCCTGGTTTTGCTTTTGTAAATATTATGTTCATACTTTTTGTACATATGAAGTGTAGGTACCTGACTAGTTCAGAAGAAGGCATTGGTTCCTCTTGAGCTGGATATACAGATGGCTCTGAGCTGCCTGGCATGGTACTGGTACTGGGAATGGAACCCTTGTCCTCTGCAAGAGCAGTAAGTTCTCTTAATCACTGAGTCATCGCTCCAGCCTATTTGTTTGTTTTGAGACAGAATTTCACTTTGCAACCCAGGCAGGTTTTAAAAAGATGCACTAATTCCCCTGTCTCAGACTCTGGAGTTCTGGGATTATAGGTATGAACTTCTGTCTTACTCAGTGTCCTATTGCTGTGAAGAGGTATCATGACCATGGGGCTCACTAGAGTTCAGAAGTTTAGCTCATTATCATCATAGCAGGGAGCATGGTGGCACACAGGCACACCTGACGCTGGAGAAGTTGAGAGTTGCACATCCAGATCCACAGGCAGCGGGGGAGGAGGGGCTTGGTGTGAGCATTTGAAACCTCAAAGCTCAGCCCCAGTGATACTCTTCCTCCAACTAGGTCACACCCTTGAATCCTTCTCAAGTAGGGCCACTTCCTGCTGACTAAGCATTCACATATATGAGCCTATGGGGGTCATTCTCATTCGAACCATCACAACCTCCTTTCCTGACTTTTGTTCTATCTTAGTTAAGGTTTCTATTGCTATGAAGAGACACAATGGCCATGGCAGCTCTTATAAGGAAAACATTTAGTTGAGGGGGCTGGCTTACAGTTTCAGAGGTTCAGTCCATTATCACCATGACAGAGAGCATGGCAGCATGCAGGCAGACATGGTGCTGGAGGAACAGCTATGAGTCCTATATTTTGCAGGAAACAGGAAATCAACTGAGACACTGAGTGGTATCCTGAGCATTAGAAACGTTAAAGCCCACCCCCATAGTGACACACTTCCTCTAACAAGGCCACACCCACTCCAACAAAGCCACACCGCCTAATAGTGCCACTCCCTATGTGATTATGGTTGCAATTACATTCACATACCACATGTTCCTTTTCTTTTCTTTCTTTTTTCCTCAGAGTTAATTGTTGTTCATGTTTCATTTGCTTCTTCTGTTGATCCCTGGTCAGATCTTCCTGCCTTTCATTCTCCATCCTGGGTCCTTTTACTCCCTTTCCCAACCATCCTAGAGCTGTTGGCTTTTTCACCTGAATTCAAAGCTCTTTAGTTCAGTCACATCCATGGCCTCCTATAACTTCCCTTTGCCACCAGCCAGATAGTTCCTTCCTCCCATTCCTCTGTGGGTAACTGGGCTTTATTTTTATTATTATTATTTATTTTTTGGTTCTTTCTCTCCTTTTGTGGCTTATGCTCTTCTGGAGCTCCTCCATGGAATGAGCTTCCCAAGGAAGTATGCATGGGAGATAAATTGTTTAAATCTTATATGTTTGAAGATGCCTCTATTCTGCCTCACTCTAGATTGGCTGTTAGATTTGGGTACAGACTTCTTAGCTAAAAGGCCTCGTGTCATAGTCTTCCAGCTTCTGGTGTTACTGGGAAGCCTGATGCACATCTTACTTCTTATCCTTGTATAAGTGTTGGGACCCAGCCCCCACGGGGTCTCTAAGAGTTGTTTTCCAGTATAACCACAGGTACTTCCTGTTTTCTTAACTTCATCCCCACTAGCATCAATATCCTGTTGTGAACCCTTTCACCTGGGGTTTTTGTAAGTTTGTTTATAAGGCTGCTCCACAATAAAGGTGAGAGACATTCTCTTAGAAAAAGACCAGGAGTCTTATTGTTCATCCAAATCTCTAGGCTTTCGCCTGATACTCGGACTTAGTGGCCAAGAGCAGCCACAAGTGGAGGTCCCACTGAGATTGGGAAAGAAAGGGGACCTTGAGA